TTAAATATGTACTTTCATTGCCAGTAAGTTTGTCTCAAATATGTACTTTCATTGCCAGTAAGTGTGTCTTAATTATGTACTTCATTGCCAGTAAGTGTGTCTTAAATATGTACTTTCATTGCCAGTAAGTGTGTCTTAAATATGTACTTTCATTGCCAGTAAGTGTGTCTGAAATATGTACTTCATTGCCAGTAAGTGTGTCTTAAATATGTACTTCATTGCCAGTAAGTGTGTCTTAAATATGTACTTTCATTGCCAGTAAGTGTGTCTTAAATATGTACTTTCATTGCCAGTAAGTGTGTCTCAAATATGCATTTTTTCATTTTCAAAAAGTCTTCAACAATATCAACAAAATTTAGCTTGACTTTCCTTCATCAGGTTTGACGACATAAATTTTGTAAATTTCAAATTTTGTATGATCGAATTATTTCAAAGTTGGTCATGCTTTCAAATCAGCGTTTATGGTTGAGTCCATTTTATTGTTGTTTGATGTTTACCAAAGGAGAGCATCTACCGACCAACATCATATTATTTACAGACAGCAAAACTTTTTTTTTACCAAAGGAGAGCATCTACCAATCAACATCATATTATTTACAGACAGAAAAACTTTTTTGTTTACCAAAGCAGAGCATCTACCGACCAACATCATATTATTTACAGACAGAAAAACTTTTTTGTTTACCAAAGGAGAGAATCTACCGACCACCATCATATTATTTACAGACAGAAAACTTTTTTGTTTGACCAAAGGAGAGCATCTACCGACCAACATCATATTATTTAGAGACAGAAAAACTTTTTTGTTTACCAAAGGAGAGAATCTACCGACCAACATCATATTATTTACAGACAGAAAACTTTTTTGTTTGACAAAAGGAGAGCATCTACCGACCAACATCATATTATTTACAGACAGAAAACTTTTTTGTTTGACCAAAGGAGATCATCTACCGACCAACATCATATTATTTACAGACAGAAAACTTTTTTGTTGACCAAAGGAGAGCATCTACCGACCAATATCGTATTATTTACACACAAAAAACTTTTGAACAAAAATGTTTAGAAAATAAGGTGGTACATACCCTCCTGTGCGCCTTAAAATATATTGTACTCCCCCCAATGCGAACCAACCAGTAGGAGGCTGATTTTGAAACTAACATTTTTTTTCTGTGTTACTTTTATGAACATCAACTTCCAGTGCTTTCAAACAAGAATTTACTACGACAAACGATCCGGCCTTTTGGAAGAATTTACACAGAAACTGGTCAAAGATGACTGTGGAAATATTCAAAAGAGACACAATCCAACCGGAAACGAAGTTCAGATCAGTTACTGTGTCACAGTTCTCGATCAACCATCGACTTTAAAATGGTTACAAAAGTACAGCTTAGATGAATTCGCTAGAAGTATGATTTTTGCAGAATACAAGTTATCAAAAGCTCTTCCATCGGCTCAGGTAACATATGTTTGTAAATGTAGATCGTCCAGGTTGGTATAGTCCTGAGAAGGACTGTTTTTGTTGTTGTTGAATAACGTTTCGACAACCTTAGCGGTAGTCATCTACAGAGCCAAATGAGGAGTAAATGACATATGACGTTTGTAAGAAAAAGTGGTAAGTTTTTCGCTTAAGTTTTTACTCCTTTCCTTGTCTCAAAGTCATTTCACGCCCCGATGAATCCCGGATCCCGGGCTCATTTAAACAGCCCCTTAGTGGATATAAAATACATTACCATTGCAAATTATCTTTATGCCCTTGCCTACGAGCACCACGTGACCCTATACATGCTACCGCACCCCAGCAAGATTAATCTTGCAGATTAATAGCAGATTAATCTTGCTCGAAAAGATTACCCGACTCCAATCTTTCGCTTGGATAAAGCGGACTCCAACTAAGGTCTTTTATGATTATCACGCTAATGCTTCATGAAAATTCGTGCAGCACATATCCAAAATAGGTGGCAGAAGCCTATTTTGGAAATGCATAAACTTTTGGCTGAATTTCTTTTTCTAAATTAGAGAGCGAGGGAACTCTCTAGTTTAGACAGAAACTCAGAAGAGAGATGGATGATTTTTCACAAAGTAAATATTTAAATATTTAAATATTAAAATTTTAATATTTAAATACTTAAATTCATATATTTACTGGTCAACTGTCAAGAACCAAAATCAGTATCCGAATAAAAACCGAAATTCTTAGAGTTTTAAGTAATTTTAGTATAAAAAGCAATAGTTTAATAAACTAACTGAAAGATGTCGGCTGGCCACGTCAAGTCACGCCATTCTGAAAAATTGCAAAATAAAAAGAAGTTAATCAGTTGATAACAGGATAAAAACAAACAAACATATACACACCTGTTTCTTCTTTGATTTTCTTCTTTATCTTCGTTCTTTGCATCTAAAAGAAGCCAAAGAAAAAACAAACAAACATATACACACCTGTTTCTTCTTTGATTTTCTTCTTTATCTTCGTTCTTTGCATCTAAAAGAAGCCAAAGATAAAAACAAACAAACATATACACACCTATTTCTTCTTTGATTTTCTTCTTTATCTTCGTTCTTTGCTTCTAAAAGAAGCCAAAGAAAAACCAACAAACATATACACACCTGTTTCTTCTTTGATTTTCTTTTTTATCTTCGTTCTTTGCATCTAAAGAATAAAGATAAAACAAACAAACATACACACCTGTTTCTTCTTTGATTTTCATTTTATCTTCGTTCTTTCTAAAAAAGATAAAAACAAACATATACACTTGTTTCTTCTTTGATTTTCTTCTTTATCTTCGTCCTTTGCATCTAAAAAAAGATAAAACCAACAAACATATACACCTATTTCTTCTTTGATTTTCTTCTTTATCTTCGTTCTTTGCTTCTAAAAGAAAAAAAACCAAAAAACATACCTGTTTCTTCTTTGATTTTCTTTTTATCTTCGTTCTTTGCATCTAAAAAGAAAAGATAAAACAAACATATACACCTGTTTCTTCTTTGATTTTCTTTTTATCTTCGTTCTTTGCATCTAAAAAAAGAAAAAAAACCAACAAACATACACCTATTTCTTCTTTGATTTTCTTCTTTATCTTCGTTCTTTCTAAAAGCCAAAGAAAACCAACAAACATATACACCTATTTCTTCTTTGATTTTCTTCTTTATCTTCGTTCTTTGCTAAAAGAAAAAAAAAAAAACACAAACATATACACACCTGTTTCTTCTTTGATTTTCTTTTTTATCTTCGTTCTTTGCATCTAAAAGAAGCCAAAGAAAAAAACCAACAAACATATACACACCTGTTTCTTCTTTGATTTTCTTTTTTAAATAAAATAAATAAATAAAGGATATTTACTTTTACAGGCATATTTTAGTAAAGTTTTCCCCGTAAGTTTTTCTTTTTATCGTTAACATTTCTATGCTGCCTTTACTTATTAAAAATAATATCAAGAAATATTTGTTGATTTCTTTTAGATATTTGTTAAAGTAAATATCCTTTCAATTAAAATCGTAGATTTGTCTCTTGTTAATAACTCGAATTTTGAGTTTACAAGATGATGTTTTTTGTAGTGTGTTTTGTTCTATATTTCTTTCAGTAATCGGCTGAAATACTTTTTAGAATAGCTAAGCTTTATGTATTTTTCGGAGACTTGTTTGAAATTTGTGCGGTCTTTTATTTTGTGGGTTTTGTAAAATTTGTCTGATTTGAGAGTTATTTTGACTTATCATTTATGTATAGCTAATCGGACTTTGTCCGATTTTTATTGGGTTTGAACGAAAGCTAATCGTAGTTGTGCAAATGTCCTATTGGTTCCTGTTAACAGGTGCAAAATGTAATATTTCTATCAACTTTTTCCGAATTTTGTCAATGAAAGTCAATTTGAAAGTCTTACTAAAAATAATCAACGTAAATAATTTTAGAGGGAAAGATCCTTCCCTAAACCGTGTCATACCTTCTTCTGAAACATCGTCGGTACAGAATAACTATTACCGATATTATGAGGATTAAGCCAAAGCATTCACCCACCGACGGTAAGACGATGTTGAAAATCAAGTTGTTCTTGTCTGTAGTCCTCGTTTTCGTCGATACGAAGAATTTGGAAGAAAACACGATTTTCACTCGGGTTGTGTTCCTAAAACTTGCCCCTCCAGAAATGTTAAACGAATGAACAAAAATTTAGACGTCTTTTTCATTTTCTGGTATGGAGTAAAATTGAAGTCGCATAGATGAATTCCACTGGCCTTCCCTCATAAGCACTTCTCCTAATTCAGGAGATACTTTGAATGAACTTTGTTGAAACTCGACTTTCCACGATATATTTATATCTCCGGTCGAACCTTTGAGTCTCATCAGTGGTAAAAACATTTGTTTACTATGAAGTTTAGGATCGTACATCACACTGTCGTTTTTGTCAATGTATCCATAAGGCATCGTGGGCGACATATCTGATTTATAATTTCATGTCAGCAGTAGTAGATGCGTAGTAGCTCCCACCGACAATCTTGCATTTGTTCTTTGCATAAAAAAATTTTACGTCAAAAACCCTTGAGATGATTGTAGGGTATAAAAATGCTTAGAAGTTTTAAAATTTAAAAGAAGCAATGTTAAAAACGTTGACTTTGTTGTTAAATGCAGCTGCATCAGGCTTACATGAAGTACACATTTATATATTCACCCATTTACAAATTTATAAATTCAGAACATATGATTATTAAGATACTTGATGGTTTACCCAAGCTAAGGAGCCAGAGCTTTCCCAATAAGCAAGTTGCAGTAAATATAATTCAATCTGCCGTATTAACGTACTTTGTACTCCTTACTTTACACGTATATGGAGACTGGAGGGACTGGGAAAGTTGAGAAATCCAAAAAAGAAATTTCTCGTTTACTTTTTATATAGATAAAATATAAGTTGCGAAACAAGATTCATCAATGATACATAATGTCTTAGTCATACATAAAGATTGAAATGAAATAACCAGTAAGTAGCATCAAATATTTTGTTAAAAGAATGTGCTGGCAGTATCTTTTTCTCACTTCACAGACTTTAAAACGAAAGGAGATCAGACAACATATGAATGACACTCCAATTAATCACGTGAGCCTCTTGTTACAATATGTTATGGCATTTGTTATACAGCTTGGTAACTTCGTACTACGTCCAGAGTTTACCACTACATTGCGAAGACTTGTTAAGCAAGTCACTGCTGTTCGTGCATATTACTTTAAAAAATTTGTGATGTTATATGGCAAAATTACAGGTCTGGAAAGAAGAATTGAGTGTCTCGAGGTCGTGGTGGTAGCAATAGTTATAACACCCAGTTGTCCCCAGAGGTTTCCTTGTTGCGTGAAAGAATTGCAACACTTGAGCGACAAGCGAGAGACGATTTTTCCACTATACAACGGTTTCGTGAGCGTTAAGATCAAATAGACGAATCAATAGTGAGAAACATGGTGAACATTACGAGCCTCGAAGCACAACGTGAAGAGCGCGCACTGATATCAAATCATACACAGCTATAATGGTACGTTACTTTGGAGACTAGACAACTTCAATCGAAAGCGACAGGACGCCATTAATGGTGTTAAGAATGTCTGGTACAGTCCACCATTTTACAGTTCTCAATATGGTTACAAGATGTGTGCTAAGATCTATATGAATGGTGATAGTCGGAGAAATGGAACTCATTTATCTTTGTTCTTTGTTATCATGAAAGGTAAAGCTTTTTTTAACAGTTTCTACTGAAGCTGCCTCAAAAATTGGAAGTAAATTTTTGTAGGTATAAAATATGCTGTCCAAGAATGTTTGGTAGCATGCAGATGATGGCAAAAATTGTGTTAAAGTTGAGATCATGTACTTTGATTGCTCTAGAGGCATAATATCTAAGAGTACAGAATACGTCACGTGACTCACTGTGCTTTTTGGAATAGATAGGATTAGAAGTTAGATGCTAGTTGGAACAAGTTGTTGAATAATGTAAAACATGGTATGAAGAGTATGAAGCCAAAGATTTTTATTTTCAATTCACCGCAAAAGCAGACTAAAGCTTACAACTGTTTGTGAGATGCGATACTATTTAGTTTTTTTGATCATGTACTAAAACAAATGACGATAGAAGGGAAAGGTATGCCTTGGGATTTATTAAGACTTTTATCATATTATTATAAAAATTTATATTGTGCATGATATTATTTCTAGGTGATTACGATGCTCTACAAACATTGTCATTTCAAAACAAGATCACAATGTTGTTAATGGCTCAAGGAATTGGTGATCACATGATTGATGCTTTTCATTCAGATCCTCAAAGTTCCTTATTTCAGGGACCAGTGTCTGATTTGAGTCTATTTGGATTGCCAGTTCTAATTTCGTCGATAGAGAGTTTAAGCAATCTTCTGTTCATTAAAGAGGATACAATGTTTATTAAGTTAATAGTTGAATGAAAAAAAATCTAAATACACTCGCTCCTGCTTCTCTATCTTAGACAATGAAAATATCTCAATTCTTTATCAATCTTAAATTCGCTTTATACTTAGGCAAACGCAGCCCGACCTAAACATGTTGCAAACAACTCTCCTAGCTCTTTCACGTAATTTTCAGTTGTCTATACAAAACGCTATTTGTTGTAAAGCACTCAATAGTGTTTGTATAAGTTTTTTCTTGTTTCCTTCTGGTCAGCATATCCACAGTAAAGGAATATACAACAGTAGGGGCATTTCGCTTTGCAATTGGCTGCTGTATGTTTAACTAGTTTATTTGCTGCCCTTTGCCATATCGTCAATCCTATTGGTCACAAAATGCAATTTACTGGCTGCCAATATGGTAATCACATGCGTAATAAGATATGCGAGGCACGAAAAAACTCAATGAAGTGGCCCTGCTCTATGTTCTCTATACGGTGGCTTTGTTATGAAGTATGTCCCCATGTTTACTTTGTAAAACGGGCTGAAATGTACGTTTGGTCATATCATATCTGCATTTTTGTACTTTTGTCATTTTGTTTCATTAGAATCAAATTTTTCTACATTTGAAGCGTTTTCTTTCAAATTATTTCATAGCACAAACAATATTTACAAAGAATCATCTTACGTGTGTTGTGTTTCCTTATTTTATATTCACTCTTTATATAATTCATTCGCAATGAAGATGGTTTGAAAGAATTTAGACTACGTTTTGATTAAATAAACCTCTTAAAACTTTTTTGTGTTCACCACTAAAACCTGTGATCAAGTGATTTAAAAAGGAGGAAGCAATCATCGACATATCCTCTTTAGAGAATAGGTTTGAATTTTTGGGGGCAGTTTTTCATTCAGTTTTGTTCATGGAAATACATGAATATGTTGGCAAAAAGAGGGCCAAGGGGACTTTCCATAGCAACACCATCAATTTCGTGGTATAAGCTGTCGTTAACATAAAGTGGCAATTTCTTACAGATAGCGTGTATTGTAAGTTTGTTCACCAATTGATTTCGTTTTCTTGTGTTGTTTGAGTAATGATTTCAACTGGGTTTCACGTTGTTGGGTGACTTTCACAGAGTCTTCGTTTATGAGTTCAAATTTGGAGGAATCGGAGAGGATTTCTGACATTTTGTTATAGTAGTCGGTTTTATCAAAAATGACACGCTATACTAACTCATTAATGTCAAGTATTCTTTCTCATAGTAACTCCTCCAACCACCCTGCTTCTCCAGACGACTTTAAAATCCTCTCATCCTGCTCCAACACAGTCGAACAACCAAGGCAGCTCCATCCCTCTTAAGCTTTTCTAGTCTCAACACCTCACCCTAACTATACATCACCATCACACTTACACATTCACAGTAATCTGATACCTCAAACTATGTAAATAGCTCGATATTATATCTTTTCATTTTTGAATTTTAATGACTTTTCTGAAACAATCATTACTAAATTATAATCACTTAATTGAAAACAAGGCATCTTAGGTCCCGTCCACACGTATCCGGATTCGTTCCTATCCGCAAATATTTTGTTGCAGTTACACTTATCGTCCAACCGTATCCAGCGAAAACGCCAGTGCCTTTTTTAAGGAATTTTTACTTGAAAGCGCGATTCTCTTACAAAAAAATTTCCATTGTATTGTATAATTTATAGTAGTTGACAACCGCAGTACTTGCGAGAGTAATGGAGGATCTGACGTAAGCGCATAAAAAATCTGGGACTTATCGCACCCCTGAGTTGGCCTTCTGTTCATTTCCTATTCTGTGCTTTTACGTAAGTCAGGTCCATTTAACTTTGTAGAAATGAAATGTAAGTACTTTGTATTTACTGGCGAAGTAAGAAATTTATGGAAGAAATCAACAGGTCTGGTTTTAATCTTTGTAATGTAAATGGTTTTACTATTCGCAACTAAAGGGTTAAATTTAAAGTGGTAAATATGTTCTGAAAGGACGGTCCATGATATCTGTACTGTAAGGGTTAAATCTGGAGGTTACACCATAAATGGATAATATAAAGTTATTAAAAGAACATTGTATAACGTCATTTGTATTTGTGAACATTTACATTGAGGTATGAAAAATGACTATACTCTATAAAGATGAAAAGTGGAGAATGAAAAACGTGATCAAGGTTTTATAGAATTTCAATGAGTTCATATGTGTTAAATTTTGTTTGCATTAATATGAGGTTATTATGAAGGATCACGGTGGTCTATTTTTACAATTTGAATACAAACAAAAGAGATCATGTTTAAACTAGGGTTTTGTGACCAAATCTTTCAATCTGTAGTTGTCAATATAAAGAGACCACGTCTTGACCTCATTCAACGCGTTTAAATTAAAAATATCGTTAGAATCTTACGATTTCTTTTGCGTTTTAATGTCGTTATGCAAAAGTAACGATGCATGATGTTGTAGAGTAGTTTAGGATTCATAAGACCTTAATGAATTTAGAAACTAGACTTTAATTTTGAGGAAATCTTCATTGAATGTTGCAGTCATATCTTGATCAGTTAAGGTTCTGAGAGTGGTTTAAGGGCGTTCTGATTGACGTCACCAACATCTTCAAGCCCAAAATTATAATATTAGCGTTATTTAATAGGCTAAATAATTTAATTAATAAATAATTGGCGTAATATCGCTTAATAATGGTCAATTGTTACTAGCATTTTATATATATATTAATTTAGGGAGAGCATAGTTCTTTTGTTTGGCAACAATACGTTTTGTTTTTAAAAATTAGAATTGATAGATATCCGGTAATTTGTTCAAGTACAAGCAATGAATTTTAACCCTATAGAGGCTGTTGTTGCTCACAGGCAACAATCACCAAACGAGATGTGTAAGAACTTTTGAAAAGACACGGCTCCCAGAGGGTTAAACAATCCTGTTGAGCAAATACATATAATGACATGCTTAACACTATTTATAAAGATACCTTTCACTACAAGCTACATATAAACCACAAGGCGTCATGGAAGGCAGATGTTGTTCATAGGAGATGGAACAAGACTTTACACATAGACGACAAGTGTAAAGATTTGTGATTGTGCCAAGCACAATAAAGTTTTTGCCTTCAACTCTCCTCGAAGACAAGTTACCGAAACACGTCTCATCTGATTGCAGATGTATTTAAACGTGTTGATAAAAAATCAAGACCGCCAATATCTGAATGCTACTGAACAAGGAAATACCACACATATTTAAACATTTAAAAGCCACGATGTACAGATATATACTATCAGTATCACATCCTAAGTGTTGATAGCAGCAGCAAAAAGAAATTTGAAAGAGGAAAACCGCTATGACATATGATACACACGAAGTTACCTGTTTCAAAATCAAGTATGAAAATAGATCCTACGGCTGGAAACTACAAATGTAAGTGACTATGCTTACGATAAATGATATTTTGTATTTGCATTTATCTCTATTGCTCTAGTGAAACTCTCAATGCATAGAAGTGCAGTTTTCATAGATTAAGGTGTAGACTTGCAATGAACGAGAGCCGTAATTGTTTTTTGCTCATTTTTCTACGACTCTCTACTATATTTTTAGTAGTAGAACCTCGGGGAAAACAGAACGCCCTTAAATTCTCCTTACCTTAACTTAGCAAGACATGACTGCAAGATTCAATGAATATTTGGACAAGATTAAAGTCCAGTTTATAAATTCATTATCGTCTCATGAATCTTAACCTACAACATATTGCATCTTTGCTTTGCATAACGACATTAAAACGCCAAAAATTGTAGATTCTAATGAATTTTTGTTCAAATACATAGAAGGATTACTTATTGTCTTACTGAAAAGTGAAAAGCTCCTAAGGAAAATTTTAGTGACGACGTAAATTAAGCAAATGTTAACAACAAGAACTTAGTCACTTAAACGTTGTAGAAAGAAAAGTGAATTTTGTCTTTTTATTGACGGATTACTGAAGTATGAGTTGCATGGAATAATCAACTAGTCTTAATGTAGGACTCGTAATATGAAAGCTTTCAGTGTAAAATGCTTTGATAACGATGTAAAGCCTTTGATCGTTTGAAACTTGTTACATCTTTCAAACTTAACCAACTAAAGCTATTTGTGCAATGTGAATGTTCTACCATTTGGATAGTCAAACAGAAAACATATAACAATTTGCTCATTCTCAATATATCTGATTAAGAATTTAAAAACGCAAAGTAACGTCATATGAAGAGTTCTTCATCACGAAATGTCGTACATGTGTTTCATATTTTCTTATATTGTAGATCCCACATGGATGGAGTTGTGAAAGTCCCTTTACCACCTGTGTCATTCACTTCAATTACTCTTACTAGTTTGCCATTACTCATGTGTCATGGTGATTCATGGCCAAAAATGTTCATTTGTAGTTTGGATTCTTTGTGGATGTCAGTTGTTTGTTCATATAATGATGATGGGCCCCATTGTTATATGAGCCCACCTAAAGGTGGTCAGCTGTCATTCATAGGAGATCAAATCTGCACTAAGCATTCTTTGAGTGATGATATAACTGGGGTATTGAAGTCATCCCTTTTCCTTCACTTGAAGTTACCATAAGAGTGCATTGTAAACAGTAATCTATCGAAATGGCGATTCATAATACCAGTAGCCCCTCGATTGGTTACGTTGATAACTTTGTGTATGGAATGGTACAAACATATTGAATGGACATTGGCTAACGGCATTTGTACATGTAAACATTAATATTGAAATGATTGGACCATAATCTACGAAGATGGAAAACAAGCGAGTGGAAAAACATGATCCATGTCTTGTGGTTTGTGAGTTGAGTAGATGAGCTTTAAAATTAACTTATAGCTATGAGTAACTGCATGAGATATTCAAAAATGATCCCGATGGTCTATTTTTATAATTTGAACTATAATCATAAAAAACACCTACATTAGCTAAAAAAAAATTTCAATAAGAGAAGTCAAATGATGTGAGAAAATAGCTGGCTTTCACTCGCTACTTTTTACTAATTTTATCAAATGCTTAGAAACAAAATTGCAATGCTTGCAAGTAGGGTTCATTGAATTTTTAAGACAAAAATGTTACAATAAAATTTCTACGATATACACGTAAAAACTGCGCTGTGAAAAAAGTGGAAGAGACCTACTAAGACGCCTGGATCAGACGGACCAGGGCAATGCTTGAAAATCATATATTAAAGTTTTGTTCATTTTAAAAGATATAATTTCTGATTTTATTCATTCATTATGCTGACATTTATAATGTGTTTTTA